ACTTAAATTGTAGCCTGGTGCTTCCCTAATAAACCCTCCATAATCTGTGAGTTCTGTGTGGCCACTGCAGTGAATTATCAAACCCAGGAGAGAAGTGGTGGGTGCTTTGGGGAGGAACGGTTGGTGAAAGGGGTGGAAGGAGGCAGCATGTCTGGCCTTGCAGTAATAGGCCTTGGGCTACTGATGGTGATTCCGTCTTCCTCTTGTGGGGTTAGAGGAGGTCAGAACATGTGGCCTCCCTGCCCTTTTTGCACCACTGTACCACAAGTGCTCCTCAAAATATCCCCAGTAATGGACTCTCCCTCACTTCCTTGTCAGTTTGGCAAATTTCTTAACTTTCCCAACCAGAACAATCAGGAGCTCTCTCCTCTCTATATCGTTATAGCATTTATCATATTCTCTTCAGAATCTATCTTAAATACTGGCAATAATTTCCAGCTGGATTCAGAAGAGGACTTGGAACTAGGAATATCATTGCTGATGTCAGATGGATCTTGGCTTAAAGCAGGGAATACCAGAAAGATGTTTACCTGTGTTTTGATGACTATGCGATTTGACTATGTGGATTGTAACCAATTATAGATAACATTGTGAAAAACAGTAATGCTAGAACACTTAATTGTGCTCATGAGGAACCTGTACTTAGATAAGAAGCTGTCCTTTCAACAGAACAAGGGGATACTTCCTGGTTTAAAATCAAGAAGGGTATGTGTCAGGGTTGTATCCTTTTACCATACTTATTCAATCTGTATGCTGAGTAATAATCTGAGAAGCTGGACTATATAAAAAAGGGTGTGACATCAGGATTGCAGGAAGACTCTTAAACAACCTGCGATGCACAGGTAACAACCTTGCTTGCTGCAAGTGAAGATGACTTGAAGCACTTACTCATGAAGATAAAAGACTACAGTATTAAGCATGTTAAGATTAACCCTCAACATAAACAAAACAAAGATCGAAGTCATCAGGAATTTCATTTCACTTGAACTTAGAATCAATGTCCATGGAATCAAATGATGTTATTGCATTGAGTTCATCTGTTGTGAAAAATGTCTTTAATGTTAAAAATGTCACTTTGAGGACTAAGGTACACCTGACTCAAGCCATGGTATTTTTAATTATCTTGTATACAAAGAGCTCTGGTAGCATAGTGCCTATGGCACTTGACTGCTAACCAGAAGGATGGAGGTTCAAACCCACCAGCCACTCCTTGGAAGGAAGGCTGGGTGATTTACTTCCGTAGTGATACCTCCTCAGAAAACGGCTATGAGTCGGGTCGAACTCGACAGCACATAACAACAACAACAACAACAACATCCATGCAAAAGCTGGACAACGAATAAGGGCGACTGAAGAATAATTAATGGGTTTGAATTATAGTGCTGGTGAAGCATATGAAATATACTATGAACTGCCAGAAGAACAAATAAATCTCTTGAAAGAAGTACAGCCAAAATGTTTTAGAGAAACAAGAATGGCGAGAGTTCATCTCACATACTTCGGACATGTTACCAGGGGGGACCCATCTCTGGAAAAGGATACCATGCTTGGTAAAGCAGAAGATCAGTGAAAAAAGGAAGCTCCTCAATGAGATGGACTGACACAGTGCTGCAACAATGGGCTCAAACACAGCAACAGTTTGAGAATGTTGCAGGACCAAGCAGCGTTTTGTTGCACATAGGGTTACTGTGAGTTGGAAATGACTCAATGGCACCTAACAGCAATAACAATATCACATTCCCTAGAAACAACTTACTTGTTTCCCTTAATAGGTTAATGTATTCAAACTTCTTTCTTTTTATTAGTGGACTTCACTTTTTTTTTAAATCTATCTGTCCTATCCATTAAAAAAAAACTTTAGATATTCACTATATGTATATTTTTATCTTTATTTATAAATTATAAATTGCATATTTCTCTGGCACAACTGGATATTCATTTGCATACAAATGAAACAGGATCCATACCTCAGAGCATACATAAAAACTAGTTAAAAATGGACCAAAGCCGTAAATGTTAAACTAAAATGCTAAGTTTTAATGTTAAACTAAAACCATTACTGCAAGATAGGGATAAAGTTAAGGGTCTCGATTTTTGGCATAAATACACTATCAAACACGGTTAAAAATACACTTAACAGAAGATAAACTAGGTAACTGGGACCTTCTAAAAACTAAATAATTATGCTCATCAAAAGTCATTTCCAAAGAGTAAAAATAAAACCTAACTGGGAAAATTTTTTGGCAATAACATATCTGACAAGGCTCTAATCTCTAAAATACATAGAAACTTCAACAACTCAACAACAAAAAGACCCACAATCCAATAGAAAAAATGGGCAAATGGCATGAACAGACATTTCACCAAAGAGGACATTCAGGTGGCTAAAAAACATATGAAGACATACTCATGATCATTAGCCATTAAAACCAAAAACCCACTGCCAATGAGTCAATTTCAACTCACAGCAACTCTCAATGGTTTTCCAAGGCTGTAAATCTTTATGGAAGCAGACTGCTTCATATTCTGCCCAAAGAACAGCTGGTGGGTTTGAACCACTGACCTTCTAATTAACAACCAAATACCTTATCCACTATGCCAGAGCTCCTCATTAGTCACGAGAGAGATGCAAATCAAAACTACAAAGATACCATCTCACCCCTGCAAAAATGGTACTGATAAAAAAAAAAATTAAAAAAATGCTGGCAAGTATGGGGAGACTGATACTCTTATACACTCTTAGTGGGATTGTAAAATGGTACAACCTCTTTGGAAAATGGTATGGTGCTTCCTCAAAAAGCTAGAAACAGAAATACCGTGTGATCCAGCAATCTCACTCCAAGGTATATACCCTAGAGATGCAAGAGCAGTGACATGAACAGATGTACGCACACCCATGTTCACTGCATTCATAATACCAAAAAGATGGAAACAACCTAAGTGTCTATCAATGGATGAATGGATAAAGAAATTGTGGTACATATATCCAATGGAATACTATGCAACAATAAAGAATAATGATGATCCGTAAAACATCTCATAACACAGAATTTGGAGGACATCATGCTAAGTAAAATAAGTCAAACACAAAAAGATAAACATTACATACCAAAACCAAACTAAATTCACTGTCACTGAGTCAATTCTGACTCATACTGATACCCTTTGGGTTTCTGAGGCAGAAACAGAAGCAGATTGCCCAGTCTTCCTTCTGTGGAGTGGCTGGTGGATTTGAACCACCAATGTTCTAGTTAGCAGTCAAATGCTTCGGGCACTATGCCACCAGAATTCCTTAAACATTACATGGTACTACTTTTATAAAACATCAAGAGTAAGTACACACACAGAAAGCAACATCGTTTAATGGTTACTAGAGATGGGACAGGGAAGAAGAGGGAATCATTTAACTAGATAGTAGACATGTGTTAAGGATGGTGAAAGGAAAAGCAATGCACAGTATAAGGGAAGTCAGCACAATTTGATCTAAGTAAATGAAGACACTGAAAGGTATGCAAGAATAAAGGACAACTACAGTAAATGCTGTAACATACACAATTTTGCAACAACAGTAATAACAAGCAAAGAATATGTGAGTGTTACATAAATAGATATGTGTGCTATGAGGGTGGGAAGGCATAAGGCATACATGCATATGCATATATAGATATATTTGTGGGGATATATATACATATATTTCTATGTGTTGCATATGTATTCATATATACAATAAAGTACATGGGGCCATAGTTATGCATACTTCCTAGACATACCCAAACACCTCATGGATTGATTTACTGGGTCTAAAGGCTCAGGATCATAGTCTCCTGAGACAATGAGGTCAATTGGCATAACATGGTTCATAAAGATATTGTTCTATATCCTAGTTTAGTGAGGTGTACCTGGGTCTTAAAAGCTTACAAATGGCCATCTAACATACAACTATTGGTCTCCTCCCATCGGAAGCAAACAAGATGAAAGGAAATCAAAGGCACAAGGAAGAAATTAGCGCATAGGACTAATGCCCCACACAAGCCACAGCCCTTTCCAGCCTGAGGCAGAGGAACTACATGGTGCCCATTTACTAACTGCCACTACTAACTATTCTCACCAGGGATGCAACAGAAGGTCCTGATGGGAATGGGAGAAAAATATAGAACAAAAGTCAAATTCCTAGAAAAGGCCAGAATTACTGGACTAATAGAGACTGGAAGAACCCCCGAATCTATTGTGACACCCTTTTAAATGAACTGAAGCCACTCCCAGAGTTCTCCTTTCAGCCAAATAATAGATTGGCCTATAAAATAAACAATAGCACCCATAAGGAATGTGTTCCTTTAAACAATAAACTACACTATACCCAACGGTCAACATTTATACAAAAGTAAAGAAGAGAAGGAAAGGAGGGGAGGGGAAACTGGAGGGATGGAAACGGGGCAGGCAGGGTATAAACAGGAGAGTGTTGACACATTATGGGGATTGTAACCAATGTCATAGAACAATGTGTATATGAAATGTTGAGTGGGAATCTAATATTCTGTATAAACTTTCACCTAAAATACAATTAAAATATTGAAAACAATAAAAACAAAGACGAGAATTTAAGGGAGCAGGGAAACTAGGTTAATGGAAATGGAACTACCAGAGCAAAAACAATTAGAATGTTCACACACTGTGAAGAATGTAACCAATGTCACTGAACAATTTGTGCAGAATTTTTGGAATGGGAACCTAATCTGCTGTGTCAACAAACTTTCACCAAAAACAAAGTATTAAAATAATAATAATAATAATAATAATAATAATAATAATAATATACTTCCACTAACACCAAAACACATAATATACATTTATAAAGTTCAAATTTTAAAAATTATTTTTAAAAATTACAATATAACCACTCTTTGGACTAAGGCTAGATTGCATTTAAATTATGTTAAATCAGACAATTTACTTCAAAGCAAGGTTTCTCTTAGAAGACTTAAGACACACTGCTTTCTTACCTCACAATTACATTAGTTTTTCTGGTTCTTTCTCCAAACCACATAGTAGATGGCTTAATGCTTATTGTGTGGAGTGGAATTCTGTCTTTGGAAGTAACTCCACAGGGTAATTTGTTCCACTGAAAATATTCCTCTGCCTATAAAAGATTGGGGAAAAACAAAACAGCCTTTAATATGGATTATACCTCAATATAAAGAAAACAAAAAATCTTCACAACTGGAAAAATACGCAGTATCATGATAAATGGAGAAAAGATTGAAATTGTCAAGGATTTCATTTTACTCGGATCTACAATCAACACCCACAGAAGCAGCAGTCAAGACATCAAACAACGTGTTGCACTAGGCACATCTGCTACAAAAGACCTCTTTAAAGTGTTAAAGAGGAAAGATGTCACTTTGAAGACTAAGGTGCACCTGACGCAAGTCATGGTATTTTCAACTGCCTCAAATGCATGTGAAAGCTGGATGATGAATAAGGAAGACCAGAGAACAGTTGATGTCTTCGAATTATGGTGTTGGTGAAGAATACTGAATACACCATGGACTGCCAGAAGAATGAATAAATCAGTCTTGGAAGAAGCAAAGCCAGAATGCTCCTTAGAAATGAGGATAATGGGACTTCATCTCTTGTAATTTGGTCATGTCATCAGGAGGGATCAATCCCTGGAGAACGAAATCATGCTTGGTAAAATAGAGGGTCAGTGAAAAAGAGGAAGACCCTCAACAAGATGGACAGACACAGTGACTACAAACAAGGAGCCCAAGCATAAACAACAATTATGAGGATGGTGCAGGACAGGGCAGTGTTTCATAGCGTCACTGCTGTACATAGGGTCACTACGAGTCGGAAATTACTCTACGGTACTTAACAACAACAACACATTTTCAGTTCTACATTTTCAACAAATCTATTTGTAGGCAAGGTCTCACATACAAATGTAGACAAGAAGAAATAGTCAGATAATTCCAAATTGGGGAATATTCTACAATACAACTAGCCTGGACTCTTAAAAAACATCTGTCATGAAAGAAACACAAAAGGCTTAGAAAACTGATTGATATTAAAATAGACTAAAGGGACACGACTGAATACACATGTGATCCTTAATTAAATACTGGTGGGCCCTGCTTCACTTCCTCACATGTAATAAAAAATATTATTGGGAAAATTAGGGAGATGTGAACACGGATTGTATAATATCTAACAGTATCATATCAATGTTAAATTTCCTGAGTGTGATAAATGTATTAAGGTTATATTTGAGAATGTGTTAGTTCTTAAGCAATCCATGCTGAAGAATTTAGGATGAAGTGTCATGAAGTCTGCAGTTTATTCTCAAACGGTTCAGAGTAGGGCAGAGGGTGATTACGCTGACAGAGATAGAATGAGTGAGTGAGAGAGAGAGAGAGAAAGAGAAAATATGGCAAATGTTAACAAACTGGTGAATCCGGATGAAGATTACACTAGTCTTATTATTTTACTATTGATTTCACATTTCTCAAAATAAAGTTGGAGGAAAAAAGCCATAAAAAAATTTTAAAGGTTAAAAAATAATGGGACTACTTTGCCAAATACTGTTAGCATTCCATCCAAAGCAAACTTCATCAGGGTCCCTCCCTTTGGTGCTATTTCTCATTAGGTTTGGATGAGATCACTACAAGGCCCTGGTTGGTCTCCACTGGTTAGTAGTTTGAAAGACTATGTGAACTACAAAATAGCTTAAGGCACTCAGACATAACAATTCAAGAAAGCAGCCAAATTTGGGGAATGATTGCAGTTGTGTTACATGCTGTCGAGTCGATTCTAACACATAGTGACCCTAATATGAGTATGAGATGACAGAAATAGCAGGTACAAATTAGACCAGTTTATAGGATGTGAGAGTATTTAGATCAAAAAGAAACTTGTCAGTTAAAAGACTTATGGGCATAGAGCCAAAGACTACAAGTCCTCTTAACAACCATCAAGTAATTTTTTACCCTGTAGCTCTCTTAAAGAGATCTGAAGGAGACCATTCAATACTATGGGTAAGAATTCTCTTCTTATTTAAAACTATGCTTTATTTTAGGGTACCCAAGCAATTTTACTTAAAGCTTTTAGCTTGTTGAACCAGTATAACCATTAGAATAGTGATCTAAATGTGTAAATGCAGGCTTACCAAAAAGTTACTCAGCATTGGAATGCTAAGATATTTTAAAATAGGGGAAAAAAATTATGATCGCTCATGCCATAGCATTTGAAAATCACTAATTTTCAAAATTAAAAAAAAAGAAATTTAAAGGCAAACAAATTGGAATGCTTAGATCTGGCATTTAATAACAAAAGAAAGTTCTGTGATGGCATTAAAAAACAAACTGCAAGTGAGTTGTAAAGACATTAGAAACACTCATGTGAAACTGGACCATCAATGTTGTCGTTGTGTATGCTGGAGTAGATTCTGACTCACAGCAACCCCATGTAACACAGTAGAACTGTCCCATTGGGTTTTCTATGCCGTAATCTTTATGGGAGCAGATTTGCAGGTCTTTTGTCCATTGCTGTTGTTGTTATGTGCTGTCGAGTCCGACCAGACTCATAGCAGCCCCTCCTTGGGTTTCCGATACGGTATCACTATGGAAGTAGATTGCCCAACCTTCCTTCCGACGAGTGGCTAGTGGGTTTGAACCACCAGCCTTCTGGTTAGCAGTCAAGTGCCTTAGACACTATGCTACCAGAGCTCCCTTTTGTCCACTAGTAAGTTCAAACCACCAACCTTGTAGTTAGCAGCCAAGCACTTTAACTACTGTGCCAACAGGGCACCTTAGGACATAAATACACGTAATGACTTCAAGGTCTGAGGCAAAGTTTTATCTAGGTATTTATCACATATGAGTAGGAGAAAAAGAAAAAGCTTATAAGCTTGCATGTGTCATGAGTATGAAAAATAAATACCAGTGGATTGGAAATATGGTTTCTTAAATTCTAACATGTTTCTTATTTCATCACACATAAATTTGTATTCCCAAATGACTATGAATATATTTGACTAAAAAACTGTAAGTTCTAGGTGTATTTACAAAGTTTACAGCAACAGAATATGTCCCTGGGCAAACAACTTTGGATCCCAGCCTGACCTTCCCATTTATAAACTGAGGAGTCCAGAAAATACAATTTCTGAGGTTCTTTCTAAACCTAAAATTCTGTTTTTTCTGGATCACATAAGCAATCTGAACAAACTAATTGCCACACATACCTTTGGGTGGCGACAGGCATGGATCTGAGTGCTGCGATCTGTTGTGAGATGATGGAGAATGTCAGGCATGTTTCTAAACATGTCTAGTTTATCCACATGAACCTAAAGAAATAAAATTGATAGGCAAATTATTAGAAATTAATTTCCTATAAGTAAATTGCTTAAAGGTAATTTTTAAGGGGAAGATCATCCAGTTAATGAACTAACTCATCATTCTTATGTGAAACCTAGTTTTGGCTATTTCAGCACACATTAGTTTTCTGCCAGGATGTCAACACAGCAAAGGGCCAAGGACTGTATTGTAGCCAGTCAGTATTATCATCTATCGTTAGTGCTAATTAAAAAGCTAGAGACTTGGTTCACGGATTTTATTTGATCATGCTATTATTGTCCTTCATTTCTTCAAGAGCCATTCAATTATTATTTTCTGTACACCTACTAGGAGCCCTGGCTGTACAGAGGTTAAGTGCTCAGCTGTTAATCAAGAAGTCCGTGGTACAAACCCACCAGCCACTCCACGGAAGAAAGACGTGGTAGTCTGCTTCTGTAAAGATCACAACCTTGGAAACCCTATAGAGAAGTTCTCCTATAGATTCATTGAGTCAGAATTGACTTAACAGAAATGCCCCCCCCCCAATGGGTACATCTACTGTATATCAAGCTTTATTCTAAATAGTGAGTATAGAGTAATGAACAAAACAGATACAAAAATGATTTAAAAAATCACCTATTCTTAAAGACACACACACAACATGCCACATAAGAGCAGCTGGTATGGTGGAAGAAAGTTGAACTTAGGAAGCAGAGACCTAGGCCTGCCCTCACCACTTTACGGGATTCAGGGAAAGAGCAGACACTCAAGCCTAGGAATTCAGAATTTTAAGGTTAATACATCTTAAGCATTAAAACCAATGGGTAAGTTTTACTTCAAGCTTATCTCTGTGTTCAAAACAAATGACAAATAACTAGATTGTTGTTAGGAATATGAAATAGCAAAAAAAGATGAATTCTCATTTCTCAGTCTGAATAACAAATTACATTAGAATATCAAATTGCTGTGGTAATTAATACCAAAACAGGCTGAACAAGAATACCAACATAATTGGTTATTCCTCTGGTGGCCTAGTTTGCTCACTAGCTGTTGACTGAGTAATGAGGACAATGAATTTGCTTTTCCAGACTCTCTAAGAAAAAGGAGTAGATTCTGAGATGTATAGAAGAGAGGAAGGACCCTGGTGGCACAGTACATAAAGTGCTTGGCTGCTAACGAAAGGTCAATGGTTCAAACCCACCAGCCACTCCGCAGGTGAAAGATGAGGCAGTCTACTTCCACAAAGATTTATAGTTTGGAAACTCTATAAGGCAGTTCTACTCTGTCTATAGGGTCACTATGAGTCAGAATCCATTTAAAGGCAAGGGTTTGGTTTTTGATTTTTATAAAAGATGGTAAAGAAACCTACATTCTCACAAAAATGAAGATGTCTGAGAACGATGCAGTAGATCATCTATGAGGTCCCTTAGTCAAACACCTCACTGTTCCTCAAAAAGCTAAAAATAGAATTATCACATGACCCAGCAATTCCAGTGCTAGGAAAATACCCAAGGGACTTTAAAGCAGTGACATGAACAAACATACATACACTAATATTCACTGCAGCATTATTTATAACTTCCAAAAGGTAGAAATGACCTAAATGCTCTTCAGTGCATGAATGGATAAATGAAATGTGGTATATCCATACACTGGACTACACAGCCAGAAAGAGAAATGAAGTCCTAATACATGCTATAATATGGATGGAGCTTGAAGACGTTATGCTGAGTGAAACAAGTTGATTACAAATGGACAAATATTATGTGACCTCACTTATATAAAAAGACAAGAACAGGCAAATATAGAGACCAAAGTTTATTAGTGGTTATGAGGAATGGGAGGGAGAGAGAAAGGGAGAGTTACTGCTATGGAGCACTAAGTTTCAGTTACAGTGATGGAAAAATCACATTAAGGGTAGAGTTTCACACCCAATTAATATAATTGCTGTCAATAAGGTACACACCTGTAAAAAGGTAAATTGACAAAAGTTGTGCTAACAGATATATTTACATACCATCACCCCCCCACACACACACACACACACAGCATTGTTCAGGCTGCTTATGTACAATTAAAACTTCATGAGATTTGGTTTCTTGGTTTGGACGTTTAGGGTCATGATTTCATGGGACATCCCAATTAATTGGCCTAGTATCATGTTTAGCACTTCTGCTCTATCTCCTAGTATGTTGCAGATTGCCTGGGGACTTAAAAGCTTGCAAGCAGGCATCCAAGGTACAACTGATCTCTCCTCACCTGGCAACAGAGAAAGAAACTCAGGAGTAGGAGGTAGAAATGGAATATGTAGCAAATTGCTTCTGTGAACAACTGCCTGGCTACCATTACTAAACATTTTTATCAAAGATTCTAGAAGAATCCTAATGTAAAGGGAGAAAATACACAACAGGATTTCAAATTCTCATGGACTCTATACTTTTGGGAACCATGGTAACTAGATGAACCCCTGAAACTACTGCCCTGAGGTATTCTTGATACTGAAAGAAAAATATCCCTTAAAGTCTTGTTCAAACCAAATAGTTTAGCTTAACTAGCAAAGAATCCCTGGCTTAAGCACTGTGCTCTTTTTAAGAACTACCTATATGGAAGACTGGGCAATCTGCTTCCATAGTGATACTGCCTCAGAAACCCAAGGAGGGGTCGCTATGAGTCAGATCCGACTCAACAGCAATGGGTTGGGTCGGGAAGATGGGATCAAATTGACAACAGCCACTTTAGAAAGGAAACTTAGGGGGCAGTGAGTTTATGTTAGTGGGGAGGAACAACTTGGGAAAGGAGGGTGAGAGTGATTGTACACATCAAAGAATGTAATCAATGCCACAGACTTGTACATGTGGAAATTGCTGAATTGGTACATGTTCCAGCATGTATATCTCAACAACAACAACAAAAATCAAACCCCACTGCCATCAAGTCGATTTAAACTCACAGTAACTGCACAAGATAAAGTAGAGCAGCCCCATAGGGTTTCCAAGGATGTGTATATTTACAGAAGTACCACCACATCTCCCATGGAGCTGCTCATGGGTTTGAACTGCCAACCTCTCAGTTAACAGCCGAGTGCTTAACCACTGTGCTACCAGGATTCCCTATATTTCCAACAACAAATAATTGAAAAAAAAGAAGCCTCACTATTCTCATTTTTTAAATTTCATATCTAAAATGATTTCTATCCTCTGCAAAGGGATTAACAGACTTAAGGTAGGACTCACTCCAAAGGCCTGTGGTCACCACCGAAGGCCTGCTTTCCTCCCAATCCGTAACATCATCCTCAGCCCTTGGCTTCTTCCTTCAGGGCTCTAGAGCAGTTTCCAGTCTTGTAGATATCACACACCAGTCAAATTTACAACAAAATGTAAAGGTTACAGGTTATCATCTTCACATTTTGCCAAAAGAGGACATGAGGAAGTGTGGTGTAGTAAATTACATAGTGTGGCTTTTCTAGCCATAAGTCTTTGTAAACTCCATAGTGGAATTTGCTGTGAGCAACTGAGTAGCTCTTGATTGCTAAAGTTATCCACCTGGGGTATTTCTGTTGACCCAGCATGAAGCAATCTTATGGGAAGTTCTCTCTCTCTCAGGTGTATAGAATTCTGATGTTGGGATTGGTTAGTGGTCACTCTGCCAGGCTCAAAAGGAGCCCTCCTAGAGGCAGAAAAAGTCTCTCTGACTGCTGGCTGAGAAAGACATACTACTAAGAGAAACGTGCTCCTGAGAGACGCACATTGCTGAGAGATGCCGAGAGACATGCACTGCTGAGAGAAAGACTGAAAGAGACTGTTGGCTGAGACAGCAGACTGAGAAAGACTGAACGTTGTTCCTGAATTGAATTGTAGCCTGGTGCTTCCCTAACAAACCCCATAATCTTGAGTTCTGTGTGGCCATTGCAGTGAATGGGAGCTCTGGTGGCATAGTGCCTAAGGCATTTGACTGCTAACCAGAAGGCTAGTGGTTCAAACCCACCAGCCACTCCTCAGAAGGAAGGTTAGGCAATCTACTTCCGTAGTGATACTACCTTGGAAACCCAAGGAAGGGTCGCTATGAGTCGGGTTCGACTTGACGGCTGTTGTGTGTGTGTGTGTGTGTGTGTGTGTATCTGTGCGTGCAGAGAGATGATGGGTGTTGTGGGAGAAGCAGTTGGTTGGTGTCAGGGTCGGTGAAAGGGCTGGAGGGAGGCAGCAAGTCTGGTCCCACAGGAATAGGCCTTGAGCTACTGATGGTGATTCTGTCTTCCTCTTGTGGGGTTAGAGGAGGTCAGAAGATGTGGCCTCACTACCCCTTTGGCTGGAAGGAGAAAAAAAGAAAAACCCAGATAGTATATAGAAGTATATGTGTGTGTACACACACAATTTACTACAACCGTGATTTTAATTTAAAAGTCCATTTTAATACCAAAAACAAGGAAGGGCAATCTCATAATGAAAGCAAATTCCTTGCTACCTGTAGAGCTGGCAACTTTACAACAATGTATTTGGAAAGAAGGACTCAAAGAAGGGAAAAATTAAGGAAAGAAAGGCTTAAGTAGAACTTAGGAATCAAAATAGGTAGGTAGGTATGAAAGAAGGAATTTTTGAAATTTTAAACACAGAAAGATTAGATCTTTTTTTATTTAACCAAATTACACTGTACATATTGTTAAGTTCTCGGCACAGTTCTGGGAGAACTGTATTAAAATATACAATATAAAGCAGGACATATATGTCAAACTAGTTCCAGCAGTTCATTTCATTTGGAGTCACCATCAAAAACCCAGCTTCTCTTACGGGACCAAAGTGGAAGCCACAGTCTAAACATAAGCACTGTGGGGAGAATGACCCTTGCCTGGCAGCCACCCATTCCCACTTTGGGCTCTGCTGCTCAGAGTCCTGAGTGCAGAATTGAACAGCTGGCAAAGCACTATCTGGAAGGAATGGTTGAAAACTCCTCACAGCCTGATACTGATCCATCCACTAGCTCAAGAACCATTACTCCAGGACAATGTTTTTCACACAGTTTTTGATCATGACTCATAATTAGAAATATATTTTCCATTGTTTGTGTATATGTGTCCATCTGACTGACTCCAAAAGTACATTTTCTCAAAATGATAATTACCCTTACAGCAAGCCATATACTTGGATGTTTTCAGTTCTTTTTTTCAACACTGATCACAGCACTAAATTTATTTCATGAAACTCTTTCTTGTATAGGACATTTTACTGAAGGACTCATCTGAGCCATCTGAGATCCAGTCAACTTTTTCCATGAGGAAGTGAATAAACAAAGATGAAAGTTACCTCAGAGGGGCTGCTGATCTTTGCTACAGACACTTTTTTGGTAGGTTGCTCCCCTCTGTTCCTGTGTGGTTACTCATGGGGGTGGGCAGCAGAGAGGTAGAGGTAGGAGGATGGAGGGGAGCAATAAATAAGAAAGAACAGTCACATTACCTGGACTCCAAATTGTTCACTAAGGTTGGTGAATAAATACTCATATCCATAAGCTGCTTTGCAGTTCAGCCACACAACATGGTAAGGACTTCTAGTGATCCAGCTTCCAATCAGCTCCAAGATTCCATTTAAACACTCCTCCTGGACAGGGGTTTTAGAAGGCATTGAACACTTTGAAGTGAGTCACTTGCCTTTCCATTCCCACTACTCACAGCTTATAATGCAAATGGGGACAACTACAATCTGATTTGTTAGCCTAGAAAAGACCCTATCAGAATGTGGTCATGCCCACGTTATCACCTCATTTCCTCAGAGAGACTTACCCGACTTGGAATTTGATAAAATTTTGGATCACAGAAAGTAGTATCTAAATACACACTTTGGATATCTATTACTCTGAAAACAAAACAAAATAGAATTGGTGTTAATCATCTAATATAATACATGTGAAAAATAAAAACTCCCATTTATTTTACAAAGTGTTCCGTTTGAGTTGGAATGTTTTTGTTAAAACAGTTTTGTTGAAACACTTTCTATATAGTAAAACATACCAATTTAAATGTACAAACATTAGAGTTTAATAGTGGTCACAGGGTGGGAGAAAGAGGGAAAGGCCAAGTCACTGCACAGGAAGCGCTGAGCTTCTGTTTATGGGGCTGGAAAATTTGGCAGCAGATATTGGTGATGGTTGCACAACATATGTGATGTAACTGTCACTGAATTACACACGTGAAAAATGCTGAACTGGCAAATGTTCTGTCATCTCTATTTTTACAGCAATTTAAATGTATTTAAATTATACATATATGGTTTAGTGAATTTTGACAAATTTATGTAAACTTTACTCCAATCAACATATAAAACATTTCATTACCTCATCTCAAGGAGAAAAACTGCTCTACTATTACAAATATTATACAGGTAGTCTCAGACTTAAAATAGGGTTCCTTCTGTTTCATCAACTCCATTTTAAGTCAGTTCTGATATAAATTGAATTATGTCATTTGTTTTTAGTTTTCATCATTACTGTCTTTTGTTATCAGTATCTTTATAAACCCAATCTTTATTTGTCCTTTGGAGTTGGAAACATCACATATAAAATTACAGATATATTTTACAGATACATACATAAATACACACAAATCATAAAAATTTACAATGATGATGAAGAGTTGGACAATGCTGGCATTCTGTAAGTTGTGGTAATAACCTCACTGGTGGAAGATTCGGGATCATCTGGAATATCCCTGGGAACAGGGGTGGCATTTCTAGTCAGAAAATTTATGAAAACTGTCTATCTGGGCCTTTTCTTTTTTACTTCATATACTTTGCTTTAACATCCCACTGCTTCCTGAATTTGCCTACCCACCTGCTTTGGTTCTCTTGTGCCACTATAACAGAAAACACCACAAATGGGAGGCTTTCATAAACAGAGATTTATTCTCTTACAGTTTAGGAGGATAAAAGTCCGAGTTCAAAGTGCCAGCTCTAGGGGCTGGGTGAAAGCCCCTCGACTTTGGGCTTCAGATCTGCCTTTTGCTCCCAGCCCACTGGACCTAGAGGCATGTCTTAACTCAGGTAGCTGCTGGCTGCTGAGGCTGACAAACCCAAGGTCAACAAATCAAATGGCACAGTCCCAAGATACCAAGCAACACAGCAGACCACTAGCTCAAGTCCAGGAAACAGCCTCAAGATCAGCAGACAGCATGGCAGGCTGCTGAGTGAAGACTTGACTGTATGAACGGTCCATAAAGCTCGAGACCTTCTTCAAAGCTTCTCCTTATATACTGGAAGCAGACCACATCCCTAAGGCAGCTACTCAGCTGTTCACAGTTGATTCCCCCACGGAGTTACCAGTCTCATCATGGGGAATAACTACAACCAGCTGCCCAGCCACTCAAAACGAGGTCCAGCCAAGTTGACACACAACCTTAACTACCATACCACTTTACCAAAGCAATCAGTATTCGGGTCCACGTTTTTAAGCAACTGAAGCCCCCGATTTAGTTTTGAAAAAACTCCAGCTAACCCTTTCACTACAAAATTTTTTGACAACTTCTCTCCTTCCTCTTGTCATTATTTCTTTCTTCTTCAGCATTTCTTTCCTCTTCAAAATCCCCTAACTCCTGATCTGTCAATTCCTCTTCTTCAATTCCATATTGGGGATATCAAGCTCTAAATTCAGTGTTCTTGCCATATAGACGATTTTTCTCCCAATCTCTTCCATCAAATTATACTGATCAAATGCTTGGACCATGTTCACAGAACTAAGCAATATTTTCCACATCTTCTGCGAAAATTTTCCCCTACCTTCCTCCCAGGAAGATGTAATGTTCCAGACACAGTGACGATCATTAAGTGCAGTTCATCATTAACTCAAGTATGTTGTAAGTAATCAAGTTTAGTTTCTAATAGAAATAAAGGTTTACGTTTGGGGAGAAAAGGAAAAGAAAACTTTTAAAACTGTGCAGTCTTACATTCAATAATTACATAAGGCCCAGTACCTGCCCCCAGAATGCAGAAGCTCCATTCTGGCAGCTTCTCCTTTTGCCAGTCTGAAGTCTCCTGTGTATAAGACATTTCCTTTGTTGCCCTGAAACAAAAACCTGAAAAGGAAACACAGCTCAGTGATTTCTAAGTCTCACACAAAATCCCAGCAAACCAAATACATGCTAAATCTACAGCAAATTCTTTCCTACCAGACATCCACAAGATACAGTGTTGATGTAATTTCATTAACTCTAAAATCACACAGGCATTCAATTGCCACTTCTTTTCCCTGGGATTGGGTAGAATAACATAATGAGAGTAGTATCAAGTATGTAATAGCGATCCCCTGAAATACGTTAGTACTCTCAACTATAATTGACATCATTCTTCTTCAAGAACAGAAAACTCCAGGGGATGGAAAAATGCAAAGTTACTGCAGAAACAGCTATAGAAGACTTTCATTATAAGGAAGCCATGTTTCAAATCTGATCTTCACCTCAGCCTGCCAAGTTAAATTTAGAAACAAATATTAAGAAAATAGTCAGAAAATAATCAAATTTCCCTATACATGTTCATTATTTTCTAGATCTGAAATATTTACTTCTATAAATGCATGTTTACAGACAATAAAATGGCAAAATAGATGAGCCCCCTTACATAACTGATCCTGGGCAATGACCAGCTGGTAACAGAGTCACAACAATCTCTTCCTTCTGAAATGAAAATAAAGAAAAAAAAAAAAAAACAACAGAAGAAGTTCTCATTAAAACCAGTTGCCATTGGAATGATTCTGAACCAAGGTGTGTCAGAGCAGAATTGTGCTCCACAGGGCTTTCAGTGGCTGCTTTCTTGGAAGGAGATCACCAGGCCTTTCTCCCTAAGTGCCTCTGGGTGGACTTGAATTCCCAACCTCTGGTTAGTAGCTGAGCACATTAACCATTGGCATCACCCAGGGACTCCCAAAGTTGTCATTAGGACCTAAATAAATAAAACCTTGCTTAATAGAATACCTTCAATTGCCTCTCAAGAATGTGTTATATGCCTTTTCTCCCGTTTCCTCATTCTCCAAATTTTCGAAACAAATGCAATCCTTATCCATTCAATAAACAACTAAACACAGAGTTTAGTTACTATACGATCCAGCAGTTCCATTCCTGGGCATCTACCTCTAACTGAAGACATATATGGGCATATAAAAACTTCTACACAAATATTCATGGCAGCTGTCTTAAGTTATTTAGTGCTGCTATAACAAATACCACAGATGGATGGCTTTAACAAACAGGAATTTATTCTTTTATAGCTTAGGAGGCTAAAAGTCAGAATTTAGAGTGCCGGCTCTAAACAGTAAGGGAAGGCCCCACGATGTTCGGCTTCAGCTCTGCCTCTTGTTCCAGGCCCACTGGAGCTGGAGGTGTCTCCTAACTTATGCAGCTGCTAGCCGCTAAGGCTAACGAACCCAAGGTCAGCAGTAAAATGGCACAGTCCCAAGATCAGCAGACAACATAGCAGGCCACCCTCCAGGAACTAGAGATGAAGACTTGGCCAAATGCAGGGTCAGAATGTGCCAACAATCTAGAGACCTTACTCAAAGCTTCTCCATATATACTGGAAGCACCCTGCACCCAAAGGCAACTCCCCTTCCACTGATTAATGTCTCACAGCAGATTCCCTATGGAGGTGATGACAATCTCATTGTAGGGAATAACTACATCCAGCTGCCACACCACTCAAAACCATGGCCCAGCCAAGTTGACACACAACCTTAACTACCACAGCAGCATTGTTCATAACAGCCAAAAAGTGGAAAACAGACCAAATGTCCATAAATTGATGAACGGAAATGTGGTATATCCATAAATGTACTATTATTTGGTCATAAAAGAAGTTGAAGTACTGACATATGCTATAACACAGGTGAAAACATTATGCTAACTAAAAGAAACCAGTCACAAAGGAGCATATATTACATGATAACAATGACATAAAATGTCCAGAATAGGCAAATCCATAAAGAAAGTAGATTAGTGGTTGCCTAGGGCTAGGGGAGGGGGGGACACTGAGGTAAGGATGATAGCTAAGGGTGCAGAGTTTATTTTTAGGGTAGCGAAAATGTTCTAAAATGGATTGTGGTCATGGACACACAAGTCTGTGAACATACTTAAAGCCACTGAATTGTACACTTTAAATAAGTGAATTGTATAGTATGTAAATTAAAAACTACTGCCGTGGAGTTGGATCCAACTCATAGCGACCCCTCCTTGGGTTTCTGAGGCAGTATCACTACAGAAGTAGATTGCCCGATCTTCCAATTATATCTCAATAAAAATAAAGATGTCACTCTGAGGACTATGGTGCACCTGACCTAAGCCACGGTATTTTCAATCACTTCATATGCATGCAGAAGCTGGACAATGAATAAGGTAGACCAAAGAAGAATTGGTGCCATTGAATTGCGGTGTCAGCAAAGAATATTGAATATACCATGGACTATCAGAAGAGTGAGCAAATCTGTCTTGGAAGAAATATGGCCAGAATGCTCCTTAGAAGTAAGGATGGCAGAACTTCATCTCATGCACTTGGGATGTGTTATTGGAGGGCCCCAACCCTGGAGAAGAATATCATGCTTGGTAAAGTAGGGTGTCAACAAAAAATAAGAAGCCCCTCAGCAAGAACAGATTGACACAGTGGCTGCAACAATGGGCTCAATCATAGCAACAACTGTAAGGATGGCACAGGACTAGGCAATTTTTCATTCTGTTGTACATGGGGTCACCATGTTAGAACCAATTCAACGGCACCGAACGGTAACAACAACAAAACTGCTATTAAAAAAAGGAGGAGGTGTTGCAGATATAGCCTCTTCCTAAAACCTTAACTGTCCAAATTCTCCACATTGCACATTATACTGCACTATTAGGGTAAAGCCTGAAGAGTACACTTACTCTCCAGCCCTCAGATGGAGCCCTCTACAAACCAGCTCCCTACTGGATAATGGCTAATCTTCATTTAATTCTAATATTACTTATTTTGAAAAAAAAAACACAAAAACCAAATTCACTGCCATTGAGTCAATTAGACTCATAGCATCTCCCCCTTGGGTTTCCGAGATGGTATCTCTAACCTTCCTTCCAAGGAGTGGTTGGTGGGTTTGAACCACCATCCTTCTGGTTAGCAGTTAAATGCCTCAGCACTACACCACCAGATAGGCCCCTTTAAAATGTGATGTGCCATTGACTAGAGCTGGATTAAAAAAAATGCCCCAAAACCACAGAACACAAGATGATACACAAAGGATCAGAGTGGGACAGTAAGACTCTGAGCAACAAGAGCATGCCTGCTGTTTGCTGCCAAGACACTGTACATGACAAGACAGCCATCAACAAGGGTATTTTCCCAAAAACTGTATAGCTAGCTTGAATTCAGGATGGTGAAAAATATGTAGCTCTACAATCCTGCTTTTAGAAGAATATTCACAACATAAAAGTACCACTTCTAAGTTTAAGATGAAAAATAAATACCTACATGGCAGAGATCTTTTTTTTTTTAATTAGAAAACGATACAGAGAAAAATCACAATATACATAAGCTGCTGCAAAAATATGAACCACTATTGTAAATTCTGGGAGCTCTGGTAGAGTAGCGGGTAAGACTAACTAGAAGTTCACTGGTTCAAACTCACCAGCCACTCTGCAGGAGGAAATTAAGTCAATCCACGTCTGTAAAAATTTACAGCCTTGGAAACCCAATTGGGTCGCTGTAAGTCGGAATCAATTCAATGGCAGTGGGCTTATTTTTTTTTATAGTATATCCTGAATGCTGTAAGAAATTTAATAACAAAGACAATGATATGGTGTTCCAGTCATTACTATGCAATACTAAAAGGGAACAATTTTAATATGAGCTATTATTTTTTTATCGTGTATCCTGAACGCTCTAAGAAATTTAATAATAAGGACAATGACATGAGTCTCAGTATTACTATGCAATACTAAAGAGGAACGATTTTAATGAGAGCTATGTCCAATCCTTTGGATGCAAAAAATAAATATATCACAGATATTTTTTGTTCTAAAAACTTAACTGCTATAATTTTCACTTATGGTTAAATGAGCATTCAAAATCGAGGAGAAGATAATTAACGTCAAATCATTTAAAAAGCACACTATATTTAAAAAAATTTAGTTACCTCGCCTGATGCTTCATCAATTAAAGGTATCTGGGTAGGAGTTTCAACTTCAATTGATATCTATTAAAATAAAATAGGGGCTTATGCATATATTATATCATATATATTCAGTTTTTCATGGCTTTTTATGATTTGAATGTCAAACACAGGGGACTAAGAAAAGTTATAGACTCTCTCTGCATAATAATTTCTAATTTCACTATAATATACATTTTAACAGCTTAAAAAAACTTAATAAAGCTAACATAAGAGTTTCAGGAAGCTGCTTTGGTAATACGTATCAAAAGTCTTATAAGTGTATACATCCTTTGACACACCAATTCTATTTTCATAAATTCAGTTTTCCTCCCTTCACTGCTTCATCCCTAGCACTTCCACCCTTTTCTCCTTAATTTGCATCTTCATAAAATACGTAGTGATATATGTGTTTAGGTTTTATGCTATGTAATATAGTCTAGATCAACCCATAATGCTGTATAAAAACACCTCGTTCACTGATTCTAACTGCTACAGATTCTAACTGCTACAGAGTATTCCATAATAAACTTGCATATTTCCCTAGAACAATGACAAGCAAATAAAAGGTACTCAATAAGCACTTGATGAATGAATAAATGAATGTAATTGAATGAATGAATAAATTTCTGGAATTGACACATCTTATTCTTGATGTATTTTTTCTAGAGTTAAATTCAATCAGCTGCTATCTTTAATTAGGATTTCCAAATGTGTTATGTATGAACTCGCCTCTTTTCCCACATACTGTCATTATCTATTTAGCTAACCAAGTTGCCATAGCTTATCATGTATTATTTCTGCAAGATTACCTCATGATTTGAATAGTAAGATTTATCAATTATATTAACATTTTACACTTTAAATTATTAAAATGCATCTTAGCTAGAGAGTCAGTGAAATTAGACAAAACTAAGGACTTAGATCAAACTGTTGAGGGAAAAGAAAAACAAATCAATAACAATAATAAAAGTTGAAATTTTCCAAATTGCTGAATTACAAAAGATTAAATACCATCATTCTTATTAATGTGAATAAATACAATGTGTGAAGAATTGGGCTTTGAATAATTCCAATGCTTTTTTCAATCTGTCTCTAAAAAAAAAAAAAAAAAAACACTTACAATTCGTTTCTCCCAAAATCTGTATTTTGGGCTGGTTAACAACAATTCCTTAGTAACAGGAGAACAGTATAAGAAAACCTTCAAGCTGAAAGGGAAAAAAAAAAGCTATTTCAGTACAATAAAAAATGAACCATCTTACTTGATGACTAGGAAACACATTTTATTATGTATCAGTTATCTCTAATAATTCAGAAACTGTGCTGCCACAAAATGTTACAATGTTCCCCACATTCCTACATCCCATTGTCTCTTTCAGTCTCATCAAGAGAGTAAAGGGAGGTAGGGAAAAAGCAGGTCCAAGAAAATACTATGTCCTCTGACCTCCTCAAAAAGTTGTTCCTCACCATTTTCATGATAGAGATATGCTTGTACATGATTGAATTTGTCTGAAAAGATAGCACTCAAATGTTAAGCTACCTCTGGAAAATGGAAAGGAGGAATGAGGAACAGACTTCTGCTTTATACTTCATATACATGTATTCTGCTTTTTTTTAAATTAACATATGAATAAAAAAAAAAAAAATCAATGATACAGTTTAGAGGCCAGGAATACAGTCAGTGGTAGACTGTATTTCCCAAACATAACCACACTAATATTTACCCTGTCCCACATGCTCTTACAACATGGATATTGAAATTCTTCCATTAAGAGAAGAAGACTGTATTGTCTGCCTTTGAAACTGAGCAGAACTGCCTTAACTAAAAGAATGTGGTAGAAGTAACACTGTATGACTGCAGAGATTAGAGCTTCGGGCAATACGGCTTCCTTCTAGCTCTCTCTTGGGACATACACTTTTTAAGCCCTGCATGTCCATGTAAGAAGTCCCCAAACCCACTGCTGTCGAGTCGTATCAGACTCGTGGCGACCCCTTCTTGGGTTTCTGAGGCAGTTATCACTACGGAAGTAGATTGCCCAACCTTCCTTCTGAGGAGTGGCTGGTGGGTTTGAACCACCAGCCTTCTGGTTAGCAGTCATATGTCTTATGCACTATGCTACCAGAGCTCCTCCTTAAATCATTATGCTGAAGAGGCTTTTTAGAGACAGAGAGATGCCCAAGGAGCCCCAGCTTTTCTAGCTCCCAACTGCTTGAGTCTTTCCAGCTCAGGAATCAGACACGTGAATGAGTGAGCCTTCAGCCCTCAGGTAACTCAGACAAGCAGAAATAAACTATCCCCACTGTGCCCTGTCTATATTCCTAAGCCACAGAAACTAAGAGAGGGAAGTTACTGTTGGTGTTTTAAGCCACTAAGTTTGGGGGTGATTTGTTACACAGCATTCGATAACTAATACACAGTCTCTAAAATTAGACAGACCTGGCTGAAATCCTGGTTCTGCCATTTACTGGCTGTGTGACCTTGGGCAACTAATTTAATCTCTCTGGTTCATTAGTTACCTCATCTGTAAATAGAAATAATAACGGTATCTATTCAAAGTATTATCAGAGGCTCTAATGAAAATGTCAGCTACAAAAGGTCAGGGATTTTTATCTGTGTTTTCCTGTGTATCCTCAACATACGGTGCAGTGCCTGATTCATCATAGGTACTCAAAAAATTGTTCAACTAATAAATACATGTAAAGCATTTAGCACAGTGGCCAGCACATAGTAAGTACTCAGTAAATAGCTATTGTTATCAAGAACACAGGCTATTGTTACCACTTAGTAGACAAGCTGACATCCACTTGTTCAAAAATACAAAAGGCAGTAAGGCCCTTTCCAAATACCTGTGTGGCGAATTCAGAATTTAAATTTAGGAAATGGCTGCAGGAAAAGAATGCAACAGTTCAGCTTAAAAAAAGATCCCACAATATTAATGATTCTTTCATATAGAACCACCATTGCCACATACACATACACAAAACCCACATTTACAAAATGAAAATGAACAAACTATTGCTACACCCAATAGTGTGGATGAATCATACAAATACAATGTTAAGTGAAAGACAGTAAATATAAAACAGTCTATTCTGCACAATTCTGTTTATGTAAAATTAAAAAAAAAAAAAAAAAAAGCCAAAGGTAAACTTCATGACAAATGTCAGAATAGAGGTTACCTTTGAGAGAGAGGGGAATGACTAAGAGGAGGCTGGAGAATTGTGGTGTTATATTTTGGGAGCTCTGGTGGTGCAGTGCCTAAGGCATTCAACTGCTAACCAGAAGGCTGGCAGTTCAAATGCACCAGCCACTCCGTGGAAGGAACACTGGGCAATTTACTACCATAGTGATACCACCTCAGAAACCCAAAAAGGGGTCACTATGAGGTGGATCTGACTCGACGGCAGTGAGTTTGGTTGGGTTTTGGTATTTGAAACTGTTCTATTTCTTGATCTGGCTGGAAGCTCCACAGATGTGTTTACTTTGTAAAAAAAAATTTCTGTCTAGATGTCATATCTCAATTAAAACATTTACATAAATACACACACACACACACACACACACAAGTAAGTAGCAAAATTAATTACCTGCACTCCAATCTTCTTTTCAAGTTAGGGGCTCTTAATCCTTTCATGTGATCTGAAAACCAAAGAATTAACAATCACAAACACATGACTTTCTTTCCAGAAGATTCCTTAGGATAAGGAAACTTAGACCTCTGTTCTTTAAGCTTCCTTTTAAGAGAAAATTTATGATACCGCATAATGTAGATGAACTTGGAGGACATTATGCTGAGTGAAATAAGTCAATCACAGAAGGACAAATATAATATTAGTTCACTATTGTAAAAAGTCAAGGAAAGGTTTATATACGGAAGGAAACTATCTTTGCTGGTTACCAGGGACGGAGGGAGAGGCTGGAACACTGCTAGACGGGTAGAGACAAGTATTGATTTGGGTGAAGGGAAAGGCAATATACCAAAAGCAAATGACCAACACAGTAACACTAAGGAAAAGGAAGACACAGAGAGGTACACAAGAGGTACAGACAACAAAGACAAACCCTTTTACATATACAGTACAGCATTATCAGTGATAACAAACATTAATCTATGGGTAAATAGATGGGTAGACAGGCTGAACGATCAGGTATGTCTAGGCAAAAAGGAATATACCCATGACCATATATAAAGTTGGCACACAATACTTCTACATACATATTTGTATTTGCCGTAAGAATGTCCATATAACTAGAACTAACAGTGGATAGAGTTATGATAACTTCTTAGTCATAGTCAGACACTCTGATGGAGTGAGGTGTTGGACCTATGGGCTCAGAACCATGGTTGCAGGTGACATCAAGCTCAACTGGCATCTACACAAAAACACTGTTCCACATCTTACTTTGGTGAGTAGTGACTGGGCTCTTAAAAGCTTGCAAATGGCCATCTAGATGCAGCAATGAGTCTCTCCTCATCAAGAGCAAAGAAGTATGAAGAAAACCAAAGACACATAGAAACAATTACTTCAAGGGACTAGTGGACCATGCGAATCTCAGCCTATATGACCATGAACCAGATGAACCAGATGGTGCCTGGGTACCACCATCAACCACTCGGAAAGGGATCAGTGCAGGAGATCCTGGATAGAGTGGGAGAAAAGTGAGGAAGAAAATTCAAAATCATAAAAAAGACCAGTGGTTTACTGGTCTGATAGAGCCTGGTAACACCCCCAAGACGATAGCCCCTAGTTACCTTTCCAGTCTGAACTGAATTCATTTCTGTGGCTTCCAGCCAAACAAAAGACAGGCATATATTATATTTACAGTAAGTAGACACACTCCTTAGAACGTCAATCATGGGAGAACAGAAGGACAGTATCTGCATAGGAAGATAGCTCAAGGGGGTGTACATAGGAAAGAAAGTTACAGGGAAGAGGTAACTATAGGGAGGAAGTAGGAAGAGAGCTGTTACATGTGGGGAACTGCAGTCAATGTCATGAAACAAAATGTGTATGAATTGCTGTATAGAAAATGAATTTACTCTGTAAACTTTCATCCAAATCACAATAAAAATTAAAAAAGAGAGCGACGGGGAGAGAAAAAAAAAAATCTATGAAAGGTTCACTTTTATAAGAGACTGATTCCTAATGGGCCAGCAGCTTTCTTCTATGGGTGAAGAATCTGAGAACAGGCCAGAATCAGATGTTGACCATCTATGAGTCATCAAAAGCAAGTTCAAAAGAACATGATCCCCTGCATCTTAGGACCAAATCTAAATCCCTCTGAGCAGCCTCAAAAGAAGAAGTGGCCAGGATCTCACTCAGAACCACTTCCAGCCCTTTCTGTTACTCTCTTCTTTTCAATCAAACCAATCCTCAGGCCATGCTCCATGTGACCCATTCAATTCCCATCATTTGTGAGTCCATCTAGAAGGTCAAGTCCATAGATTCTTCTAGGAAATCATTCAGGCTTGAACAAGAATGAGAATTTCATTATTTCCTAACCCTACTTCGACTGCTTGGCTGAAAGCTGGGGTGTTACCAGCCACATATGCTTGCTCCATAGCTCTTCAAAAAAAGACACAGAAAAAGGACATTTAAAGGAAAATAGCACATATATCAAGTATTAGATTAAATGTTGTTGTTGTTGTTATGTGCCCTCGAGTCGGCCCGACTCATAGCGACCCCTCCTTGGGTTTCCGAGGCAGTATCACTACGGAAGTAGGACTGCCCAACCTTCCTTCCGAGGAGTGGCTGGTGGGTTTGAACCGCCAGCCTTCTGGTTAGCAGTCAAGTGCTTTAGCCACTATGCTACCAGAGCTCATTTTAGTGTGTTCCGAAACTTTAGCATGTAAAGTTCTAGACAGCAATGACCAAACACTTCTAAATTATTTAGTCAAAGCAAACCAATTCCAACAACTCTAACTACCTACCTCCCCACTCCGCCCCCCCAACATACACACGACACACACATATACGTTCAATTGATATGTGAAGATCTTTAAATCCAGTGAACACAAGGCAGTCACTACACCTCACTTGGCAGACTGTAATTGGCCATGTACCTCCAAAGGACAGTCTACTTCAGGTCACACCTAGTCGAGTCTTTCAGGGCCTGTAGGTAAGTTCTAGAGTAGAACTCTTATTGACTAGGGTTTCCTAAGAGTTTGTGCCATGGCAAAAAAGAAAGTAAGAATCAAGACTCTGCTCCATAATCTCAAATTCATTGAGCAGACTGTACTCTAGAGCCCTTTTTATCAAGATACCCCATTCCCACAACTCCAAAGCCCCTCCTGACTGGCAGTCAAGAGAACTTGTATGAGTTTACTCTGTGCTGCTATACCCAAAATCTATTTTCCAGGGCCTTTTTTCCTTCCCTTAAGGAGCTCTGATGGTGTTAAAATATTCCACTGCTAACCAAAAGGTCAGCAGTTCAAACCCACAGTTGTTCCAAGGGAGAAAGATGATGCAGTCTGTTTCAGTAAAGATTTACAGCTTTGGAAACCCTATGGGGCAGGTCTACTCTGTCCTATAGGGTCACTATGAGTCAGAATCCACTCAATAGCAGTGGGTTTGGGTTTGTTGTTGTTGTTTGGTTTTCCTTTTCCTTGGCCAGAACAAATCACCAAGTTGTACCCTCCTGGGTCTTCCCCAGCCCTGGGCCACTATCTCAGACCATGGGACCCCTCTCATTTTGCAGGCCTCAGAAACACAGGTAAAGCCTACCCTGACTGACCTCCAAGAAGCCCTGGTGGTGCAGTTGTTAAGCACTCAGCTGCTAACCGAAACCTGCCAGCTGATCCACTGGAGAAAGATGTGGCAGTCTGCCTCTGTAAAGATTACAGCCCTGGAAAGCTATGGGATAGTTCTGCTCTGTCCTATGGTTTGGAATTGACTTGATGGCAACAGGTTTTGAAGCAGCACTGGCCCCTACATAGTCCATAAGCAGGCTTTAGGGGACCGAGAGCCCACCCCAAATTATATAAAAATGTAATGTTAATGTGCATATGTGAAGTTTTTCTAGCAAGAGCCCATAGATTTTGTCAGATATTCAAAGAACTCTATGTCCAAAAAGGCTAAAAACTACTAGAATGCAATGTGGGAAATCCCCAAAAGCAGAAACTGAATTGTCTCCCTTGAGGAGTTTACATTCTGGTTGAGTACAGACCTACATGTGATTAGAGATCAGAAAAGGTTTTTAAACACTGCTTGATAGAAAGAAGTCAATTTCCTCCTTAATGTATGTACTAATGATGATGGTTTGACAGATTCCTTTAGATAAATTATTTCTCCAAACCCAACTATCCCTAAACATTAAGCACAAGTCCTAGAGCCATATATTTTTTTTCTTTTTTACTTCTATTGTGGTGAAAATATACAAGACATTCTTCGACATAACAACTTCCACATTTACAGCTCAGGGACATTGATGACGTTTTTCATGTTGTGCCACCATTATTGCTATCTTTTCCAAAACAGTCCACCATCATGACCATAAACGCAATGCCCCACAACCAAAAGCTTCCTCTTCCCCCCCCGCTTCCCTTCCCCCCACAACTCTAGTAATGACTAACAATCGTTGGTACACACACACACACACATATATATGTTGTTGTTGTTGTTGTTATGTGCCGTCGAGTCGGCCCCGACTCATAGCGACCCCTCCTTGGGTTTCCGAGGCAGTATCACTACGGAAGTAGGATTGCCCAACCTTCCTTCCGAGGAGTGGCTGGTGGGTTTGAACCGCCAGCCTTCTGGTTAGCAGGCAAGTGACTTAGCCACTATGCTACTTTCCGGGGCAGTATCACTACAGAAGTAGATTGCCCAACCTTCCTTCCAAGGAATGGCTTATGGGTTTGAACCGCTAGCCTTCTGGTTAGCAGTCAAGTGCCCTAGGCACTATACTACCAGAGCTCCTCAAGGAGTGGCTAGTGGATTTGAACCACCAGCCTTCTCGTTAGCAGTCAAATGCCTTATGCACTACACCACCAGAGCTCCTATGTATGTGTGTGTGTGTACACACACACACACATTCCTAGATAGGTTGGGGACACATACACACACACACACACACATATATCCCCCCCCAACCTATCTAGGAATTTAGCCTTCCCTCCCCTTCCATCCCTGGTAATGAACAAAGAAAGTTTCCTTCTATGTGTAAACCTTTCCTTGACTTTTTACAATAGTGGAATATTTGTCCTTCTATGATTGGCTTACTTCACTCAGCATAATGTCCTCTAAGTTCATTCATGTTACTCAGCATTTTGCAGATTCTACCTTATTCTTTAGGGTTGTATGGTATTCCACTACGTGTATGTACCACAGTTTGTTTATCCATTCCTCAGCTGATAGAAACTTAGGTTGCTTCCATCTTTTTGCTACTGTGAATAGTGCTGTGATGAACAGGGGTGTGGCATGTATCTGTTCGTGTTCTGCCTCTCACTTCTTTAGGATATATACCTAGTAATGGGATTGCTGGATCAAATGGTAATTCTATTCCCAATGTTTTAAAGAATCGCCATACCGATTTCCACAGTGGTTTTATCATTCTACAGTCCTACCAGCAGTGTATAAGAGTCCCAATCTCTCCACATCCTTGCCAGCATTTGTTATTTTCTGTCTTGTTGAACTTTGTTATTAATGCTGGGATGAGATGGTATCACATGGTTGTTTTGATCTGCAGATCTCTAATGGCTAATGATCACAAACATTTCTTCATGTATTTGCTGAATATTTTCTTTGGTGAACTGTGTTCATATCTTTTGCCCATTTTTTAAATTGGATTGTTTGTCTTTCTGATGTTGTGGTATTGGAATTTTCTATACACTTTAGAGATAAGTCCTTTTTCCTGTATGTCATTGCCTAATATTTTTTCCCATTCTGTAGGTTTTCTTTTTACTCTTTTGGAGAAGTCTTTCAATGCACATAAGAATTTAATCTTTAGAAGGTCCCAATCATCTACTTTATCTTTTGCTGTTTGTGCATCTTGGGTTGTGCTTGATAGTCTATTTATGCCATAAATTAGGGCCCCTAAGTTTACCCCTATTTTTTCTTTGAAAAACTTCATAGCTTTAAAAAACCAAAAACCAAACTCACTGCCATCGAGTCGCATCTGACTCACAGTGACCTCTCCTTGGGTTTCCAAGGTGGTATCACTACGGAAGTAAATCACCCAGTCTTCCTTCCAAGGAGCGGGTGGTGGGTTTGAACCAAAGTCTTCACTCCATCTGGAGTTTGTTTTTGTGTATGGATCTTGTTTCCGTTTTCTGCATATGGATATCCAGTTTTGCCAATACCATTTGTGAAAGAGACTATCTCTTCCCCATTTAATGGATTTTGGCCCTTTGTCAAAGATCAACTGACCACAGATCAATGGATCTATTTCTGGGTTCTCAATTCTGTTCCACTGGTCTATGTGTCTGCCACTGTACCAATACCAGAATATTTTGACAACTGTGACTAAAGCCATACTTTAACAATGTCTATCAAATTATGAGTTCAGAGACTCCATTGAGACAACACAAAAGGTAAAAATAGAGGCACCTTTATCTCTATTACTCTTAAACATCCAGAAGTCTCAATGAAAAACAAAATCAAAACAAAAAATGTTCTTAAGTATAAGCAGAAAGATCTTACAGTGCTGCTTGGCAGCTAAAAAGTGGTAGTCCAGATCTCCCTCATTAAAGAGAGATGATTGTGACTTTGAACAAGAAGCAGAGATATTTCCCAAAAGCAGTAACTTCAACAATTTGCTCCTGGATGGTGCAGTAAATGTAATCAGCTACCAACCAGAAGGTTGGAAGTTCTAGCCCACCCAAAGGTGCCTTGAGAGAAAAGTCTGGTGATCTGCTTCCAAAATATAAGTCTCTGAAAACCCTACAGAGCACTTTTCACACGTGGGTCACAATGAGTAGAGGTCGACTCTACAGCACCTCAGAAAGTTTAAGTGATTGATTCTACCCACAAGACAACATTTAGCCTTCACATCAACACTGTAAGGAAGGGCAATGTTTTGATATCCGTCATTTATTTTAAAATACTTGTAATGTGCATATGTATGTATAAGTTAGGCGCCAACAGTAATCTCTTATCAGCGATTCACTTCTCAAAGGAGTAGTTGCTACTTCTCAAGCTAATCTGTAATTCCACACTTGAAAAGATAACCAGTCTTCAGCTGCTCTTTATCTACAAGCACTGCCAAAAGCAATACTAATTAGTATAATGAATATTAAAACTGTTTTCACTAGTAGAATCAGCATAATAAATCAAAACACCCATTGCCCTCAAGTCGATTCCGAATCATATCAACCTCATGGTAACTGTTGTTAGCATTGACTGAAAAAGTCAAGTCAAGTCTACTCTTTGTGTTGACGCCGTTATGCCCCATTTAACAGAACAGGAAATAAAGCCTTGCAGAGGTTGAAGAGCCAGACTTGGACAAGGTGTAGTTTGATAATCCCTCCCCATGTCTCCCAACACCTGCACTTCCCTTGCTTCACTGCTCGGATCCTTGCCTCTCCTCTCTCCAGCTCTTGGGGCGATTCCCCAATGGGTCAAAGCACGAAGAAGCATCCCCCGGCTTCCCAGGGAGCCGACAACGCACAGCACTCACTCACCCTTGTGGCAGTGGGACAAGAAGTAAGCACGAGCCCTCAGGTTCTCCCTGTCGAAGCGGTCTATGGAGATGGTTGGATACTCGGTCATCTGTCCCCCGAAGGAACTCATAGTGCCGGCCGATGCCCGCCGACCCGACCCCGCGCCAACAGCCCCTGAATCTCAAGTTGTCCCAGGTTGCGCCTCCACTTCCGGGAGCCCGCCTGCCGCCTCGCCATTGACCAGCCGAGCGTCAGCCTCGCCCAATCAAAGGAGCCCTATGGCCGTGGGGCGGTGCTACGGAACGTCTTGTGTTCCTGTACCCAGCAAACTTCGATTGTAAAAAACCCGAGTTGCGTTGCGTACGCTCGTAGGTGAGGCACCTCTTTTGCTTACACCTTGAGAGGCTGAGTGGAATGGAGGGTTTAGAGCGAGGAGTCTGGTTCCTGGTGAAAGCCTAGACCGAGCAATACGAGTGTTTCCTGTTGGAAGAGCTGTCCGTGCCTGTACAGAAGCTGAAATAGCCGGTAGCTCCTGAAAGAGCTGGTTCCACTTACTGACGCGAGGTGGGGTCGTGGTCCAGAGTTTCGCTTTAGAATCAGCCTGCGTTCCACTTCTTGCTTTCTGCTTATTGGCCTGAAAGGCGAGTTCATTCTTGTCTTTAAAATGGGAATTGTAATTTCTACCCTGTGGCATAACCATGAGGATTATATGAGAAAAGTTTATCTGACTCATGGTAGGATCAATAATTATTGGTTCCCTCACACACTTAAAATCTACAAATTGAGTTAATAAACAATCCCTGGTGATCACAATTGAAATACATGGTATTAAGGTAAATAAGTAATGCTCCCAAGGGTATCTCTGGTGGTGTAGTGGATAAGGCACTTGACTACTAACGGAAGGTCAGTGGTTCAAACCCACCAGTTGCTCCAGGGAAGGAAACTCAATAAGGGGTTACTATGAGTCGGAAATTACTCAATGGAAGTGAGTTTTTTTTGTTGTTGTTTTTTTGAGCCTTCCTCCTCCATCTTTGGAGCTATATTTTTAGGATGTTAGAAGGATGTGTACAAGATAGAAGGAATAATGGGGGGCAGGGGGACTTAATTTTTTAACCACCGAAACAACTTTCATAAAAAGGTTTGGTAAAGTATTAAGATTCACCATACTCACAAAAATATTTATTGTGTCCCTACCGAGCAATTCTTAGATAATTATGTATTAACTAATACATAGGCATAGCGTTGTGACAAGCCTTATAGTGTTTACATAAATGACTAAGATGTGCCTTCAAATCGTTTTCTATTTATGGAGAGAGGACATATTTGCAGAACATAGTAATTAAATGTTTTCACATACATGCATAGTAATATGGGAAGAATTTCAGGAACAGTGAATTCTGACCAGGGCAATGAGGAATCAGAATGCCACCCTTAGAGAACTTATGGCTCAAGTTTGTTACTGTGCTTGATTATGATTTGCCTTGGGTTACTGACAAAAAGGTAAGTGGTTCAAATCCACCTGGTTGTGCCAAAGAGGAAAGGTCTGGCTATCTACAGATTGTATCCATTGAAAACCCTATGGAGTGCAGTTCTACTCTGGCATACGTGGGGTAGGAATCAACTCAATGGCAATGTTTTTTTTTTTTTTAATTGCTGTGTAAGCTGACTGTCCAACCCAAAACCCATTTCTGTCAAGTCAGTTTGACTTATAGTGACCCTATAGGACAGAGTAGAATGCCCCATAGTTTCCAAAGTTGTTAATCTTTATATCTTTATGGAAGCAGACTGCCACAACTTTGTCCCACAGAACGGCTGGCTGTTTCAAACTGCTGACCTTTTGGTTAGCAGCAGAATGCTAAGCCACAGCACCACCAGGCAGACTATACTTAAGGATAAATTCAACAGTGAGCTTGGCATCTGGACAGTCCCATGTGTCTACCTCTAATAGAATCTGGAGTTCATGGAAAGGCTGCGAATCAAACTAATGCTCATAGTCTTATTTGCCCACTTATTTACCCCCCACTTCTTTCCACAATAGATTCAGTACCTAGGAATACAGGAAAATACTGAGAGTTAAGACAAAGGGAAAAGGTAGGATAGAAAATAGTGAAGACAAGTAGCTCACATGCACAGACATGCACAAATGTACTCTTGTGAGAAGTGGGCCACGTTTTTGGCTTTCCCAGAGGCCATAGTAAGACGAGAGATACAATCATTTACAAGCTCTATGTCACCCTTAAAATGAAAAGCAAACAGCTTTTTAGAAGAAGCCCAATTTTTTGGATACGGAGTCCCAAAAGAAACTTTTCCTGTAGGTGTTTGCCAAAGGGGCAGGGAGGCTGCATCTTCTGACTTCCTCTAACCCCGCAAGAGGAAGATAGAATCACCATCAGTAGCCCAAGGCCTATCCCTGCAAGGCCAGACATGCCGCCTCCCTCCAGCTCTTTTACCAGTCCTGACATCAACAGTTCCTCCTGCAGTACCCACCACCTCTCTGCCAGGTTTGATAATTCGCTGCAGTGGCCTCACAGAACTCACAGATTATGGGATTTATTAGGGAAGCAACAGGCTACAACTCAAGTTCAGGAACACGCTCAGTCTCTCTTAGCCCACCGTCTCTCAGCTGACAGTCTCTCTTTCAGCAGTGCGTGTCTCTGGCATCCCCCAGCTGGCAGTGAGAGATTCCTTCTGCCTCCAGGAGGGCTCCTTCTGAGCCTGGCAAAGTGGCCCAACTAACCAATCCCAACATCAGAATTCTATACAACTGAGAGAGAACTTCCCAGAAGATTGCTTCGTGCCACTCCCAACAGAAACACCCCAGATGGATAACTTTAACAACCAGGAGCTACTCAGTTGCTCATGGCAAATTCCACCATGGAGTTTACAAAGACTTATGGCTAGAAGAACCACACTATGTAATTTACTACACCACAGTGCTTATAAAGAAAACTGAGATGTGGTTTCCCCACACTCCCATTGGGAATTTCTGCCCTTCAGAAATCCCAGAGCTCTTTAGACTTGTAAGTCCTTGAATCATTCTGTCTCATATTGAATATCTAGAAGTTAGTTATTGAGGTAGATAAAAAAATCCTTCTTGGGAAATCATTATAGGATATATTTTTCTTAATTCCATGTACTAATAAATTGTTGTCGATGTAATTTACATAACGTAGTTGTTGTTATGTGCCGTCGAGTCAGCCCCGACTCATAGCGACCCCTCCATGGGTTTCCAAGGCAGTATCTCTACGGAAGTAGATGTACTGTATTTTATGCTATTCTTTTAGGGAGCTTTGGTGATGCAGTGGTTAAACGCTCAGCTCTAACCAAAGGTCAAGAGTTCAAACACACCAGCTGATCCTTGGAAGAAAGATGTGACAGTCTGCTTCCATAAAGATTACAGCCTTAGAAATCCTATGAGGGCAGTTCTACTCTGTCCAATAGGGTCACTACGAATCAGAATTGGCTTGACAGCAGTGAATTTGATTTTTAGGGAGTTGGATGTTATTCTTTTAGAAGGACTAAAGTGTTATATTAGGAATTAAACAAATAAGATGTTAATAAGCAATGTAAAATAATATATAAATATTTGATTAAATTTTTTAAATAAAAACAAGTTTCTGTCCTTAACACTGAGGATTAAGTTTTAAAATTTAAGATGTCCTAAATATTAGCTGCAGACAGCTCATCTTCAGTTTTTGTAATTTTTTAAATTCTGATTTCAGCATTGAAAGCGGGTGAGAGGAAAGTTGGCTTAGAACTCAGTAAAGAAATGTGTGGATTCATTCAAGTTAGCATTTGAAAATACAATTCAGAGGCTAAGATTATAGTCATTAGATTTTGGAGGCCCTGGTTCGCGTCTCACTTAAGCCATTACTATTTGTGTGATCTTGGTTAGTTATTTAACCTATCGGTACCTAGGTTTTTGCAGTGTAAAATGGAGATTATAATAAAGCCTATCCAAAGCCCTGGAAAATGGAAAGTGCTGGAAAAATTTTAGCTATAATTATTTACTAAGTGTTGAAGATCCCTGGCTAGTGCAAACTAGAGGTTGGCAGTCCATAGCCACCCAAGGGCATCATGGAAGAAAGACCTGGCTTTCTACTTCGATGAAGATTATGGATTATCTAGGAGATTATGTGCTAGGCCAGATTATGCTAGGAAATTAAGTGCTAGGAAAGAGCTCTGGTGACGCTATGGTTAAAGGACTGGGCTGCTGAACAAATGGTCAACAGCTGGGATTAACCAGCTGCTCCATGGGAGAAAGATGAGGGAATCTGTTTCCAAAAAGATTTACAGCTTTGGAAACCCTATGGGGCAGTTCTATTCTGTTCAATAGGGTCACTATCAATAGGAATCAACTCGGTGGCAGTTTGGTTTGAATGGGTATGCTAGACACTGCTAGGAATTTATTGTACAACTAGATCTCTGTGCTTGTGGATATTACATTCTACTGAGAGAGACAATAAATAAGCAATTTAAATACTACATTGCTATTGTCATTAGTTATGATTAAGTCCATTCAGACTCATGGAGACCCCATGTAGTGATACAGCTGCCAGAACAAAATCCCTCAAAGTGGATGGTTTTAAAGAATAGAAATTTATTTTCTCACAGTCCTGGAGACTGAAAGTCCAAATTCAGGGCATCAGCCATGTTCTTTCTGAGGGCTCTGAGAGAACTGTTCCATGCCTCTCTCCTAGTGTCCTGGGAACTGGCAATCCTTGGCATTTCTTTGCTGAATGCTGATTATAGATACATCTGCCTTCATCATCACATGCTGTCTTTCCCCGTTTGTCTCTGTTCCCATTTCTGTTTTCCTCTTTTATAAAGCATCACTAAGAAGGGATTAGGACCCATCCTACTCAGGGTATAACTTCATTTTGCTCAACTGGTAACAAAAGAAAAACACTATTTCTAAACAAAGTCACAGGAGTTAGGATTTCAACATACCTTTTGCAGGGACAAAATTCAATCCATAACAAGTGCTATGGAAAAAATGAAACATTACAACATAGTAAGGGGGTTTAAAGAGCATGATGGAGAATAGGGGAGGGGGGCAGGTTGAGATTTTAACAAACGCTACTCCTCGGAAGGAAGATTGGGCAATCTACTTCCGCAGAGATATGTCTCAGAAACCCAAGGAGGGATTGCTGAGTCGGATTAGACTCGAAGGCAGTGAGTTTTTAGTGAGAGGAGGTAAAGAAGGAGCTCTGGTGATTTAATGGTTAAGGCATTTGACTGCTAACCAAAAGTTCAGTATTTCAAACCCACCAACTGTTCTGCAGAAGAAT